AGAAGGCCTTTGGGAACGCCAGTTTCGTCACCAGATTCAAAGAGCCCGTCGACCTCTTTGACATTGCCGATGACAAAGAAGGAGGAGAGTACAGGGTCGCAAATCACAGGGTTGATAGATCAGGTCCTGATGGAAAGAGGGAACTTGATGCACTTATTCAGGAGGCTGCAGCACTCGGAATAAAGATGCCCAAAGTGAAGGACCTTGCTCCTGACCCACAACAAGTTCAAAAGGCTGGATATCGGCAGATTGAGGTGACTTGCGATAGAGGAAACATTGAGATAATTCCACAGTATGGAGTTACATTCTATGTGGAGTACTGGAATGGACCGAAGAGAGATGCAACTTTCACGGATCCACCAAAGATGAACCCAGCAATTCGCATCGACAAGCTCAGCGAGGAGAGTCAGTGGGTCAACGAGATTAGCCATAGACTCAATAGACTACTCAGGCATGGAGTGGGAAAGCATAATGGGATTCAATCGCACCGCGGTCGAAAACCTCATGTGTCCCCGAAGTGCAATGAGGGTGGATGGGTGAACATCGATGAGATCCTGGAATATGATCATGTCTTCAACGATGGTGTCAATATCAGTACTATCTCAGGTACTCAACGTGAGCAAGATACCAAGACAGAGCGATACCAGTATTTATGCAAGGCGATGTGGCATGCAAAGAAGTTGCAGAACAGAGTACGCTATCAGATTGCCGCCATTCGCATCTCAAAGGAGGATGTCTCACTCGAAGAGGAAAGGCAATATTGGGCAAACCTCATGTTTTACGGCACAGACGCACCGTCATTTCTGAAGCATGAACGTTGGATCGTTCCTTGTGCAATTCGAGCTGTTGCCTCTCACAATTCTGGAAGAGAGACTGTTCTTGAAGAGGATGTGTCAATATATCCTGTGTGGACTTCACATCTCATCCCAGAGAATGTGGCAATGCAGCTTGGAGGAAGCTTTCACATGACATCGCTTTCCAATATTGAGTCAATCATGAAACTAGGAATTGTCCCTGGTGGAATGGATGGATATAGAGGTAGTGTTTTCTTCAACCACTTTGCGCCGTGGGATGATCGATCATCAAAGATTCTGAGATCAAGATGGCCAAGAGGGGGAATGCCCGTTTGCCTTTATGTTCCAATCATGACTTTGAGGAAGCTTGGGGGAAGAATTTCGGAGAATTCCTACACTGTTGTTTTAGAGAAGTTCCATGGAGATGTGTACGAGGTGCTTGGTATTGGGACGACCACGGTCAGGCATGGAGGAGACTCCTGCTGGGAAGCACTGGAGAGCAAGTTGTTCTAGCGGCACGTCATGGACTTTGGGTTGCTCAGAAGCATACCATCCTCGAGAGAGCCGACGAAGTCACGAAGTCAGCCTCGGCGACAGATGACAACGTCCAAAAGCTCGTGTCCCTTATCGATGAAGTACGATTCGATGACAATGGAGAGCTGATCGAGGATTCCATCAGTGAGGAAACTTGGGACGAAATCATCTCCAGAACATGTGAAGGGTATCGCAACGTGGATGGCAATATTTTGTGTCCATCATGTATGCGTTTGACTTCTTCATCTTTGTCCGTGTGTCTATCTTGTCAAGGCAGGCTACTCTCGTGTGGCATTCGCAACACTGTCATTTCCGACTCACCCGTTGATCTTGTGAGCGACGATGAAGAGGAAAAGAAGGAAGAGAAGAAGCCTGAACATGATGATCAAGATATATTGGACCAGGCCACTATGGACGAGATCAGAAAGGCTTGGGAAGAAGACATCGCTCAAACTGAAGCAGCTGACGACGACGAGGACATGGACAATCTAGATCCTTCCAAACCGTCTGATGGTGCAGAAAACTTCAAGAGTGACAATGTCGAGACCCCATCTTTCAATGAGGACGAGATCGACTACGGTCGTGATTCTGATCTAGAAGATGAAGACGAACGAAACGTGATCATCGAGATCCAGAGGAGCACACAACAATATGAGGGGAAGAAACGTCAAGATGGTGAGCCCGAGGATGAAGACGTCACCGACGACTTACATCCGGAGGCGAATCGACCGACAGATCGTGATGAACCGGGATACTATGCACAGCACGGAGTGACCGAGTTCAATCCCGAAGAAGGAAGAGACAACGAAGATCTCCCCATCTATTGTCGAGTACCGGAACCTCGAATCTATGCGCATCAAGAGAGAGCCTACTGTCAGGACGTCTCCATGAATGCATCGGGTTTGATGGATAGGTATGTGGTCAAATGTGTGCTGAACATGATCTCCCTGATGTACAAGAGCTACTATTGCACCAGCCTTACCGACTTCAAAGCAAATTGGAAAAAGAAGCGTCTGGATGTGATAAGCAAGTTCGGTACAGGAGATTCCACTGAAATCGATGACGATGGGAGACCATTGGATCCAACAGATGACATGATGTTAAACTTTGCCAACGACAACAATATTACAACTGAGGAGGCCTGGCACCGATTCAGAGGAGAGCAATTCATTTGCAAGGTAGCACTCATGATCCTATCATTTGGTCATACTCCGAAATCCTTCAAGGAGGAATATGGCAACTTCGAATACTCCACCAACTTGACTGATGCCCAGCTTGAGGAGTTGAAAGCGAAGAAAGCCAGTGCAATGACTGAATTGGTACAGAAGTGCATCCATGCGATTTATGGGTGTCGGACATATTCTTATTTTAGAACCGACATTACATCACCCTACCACAAGGTGATCGATCCTCTGGACATCATGTACTCGAGAATGAAGAGCAAGTGGGAGAAGTCTATTCTGTTGATCGTTGATCAACATGAGATTAGGTTGCCCCCACAAGCTCAGGAAGTCATAGAGTCAATGGCCAGAAACCCCAACGTTGGACATACAGAGAGATGGATGAGCGTGGTAGAACATAAGCATGTTCAAGCTCTTACCAATCGTCTAGGCTTTGGAGATAGGGCCAAGGAGATTCAGGGCAAGAAGAAGCAGGCAGCCAAGGCAACAGCTAAGTCAACATCAACGACTAAGTCTGAAGCGAAAGCAGCATCTTCGTCAAGAGCTGAGGCAAAGCCAGCATCTACACCCAGAACCGAGGCCAAGCCGTCGTCAGCACCAAGTGAGGAGCCAAAACCTTCAACAGCACCTAAGAGTTTCGGGCCCTCATCAGCAGAGGAGAACAAGGTGAAGGCTGCTCCAAAAGCCAGACCACATGATAAATCACCATCCAGTGCTACCGATGTGTTCGAGCAAGCTTTGCAGGAAGATCTTGCCGCCAACACACATGCAGCAGAAGGTACAACTTCTTCATCATCCCGAGGACATTCCAAAGGAGGAGGCCAATCTGGAACATCTTGGAGGCCGGCGCTAACGCAAGAACGTCGCGAAGTACCTCAACCTTCTGAAAAGGGAAAGGGAAAGAGCAAGTCCAAGGGAAAGTCCAAGAAGGGAGAAGATGATCGGTGGGATGCTCAGGGCAGCTGGGATCATCGTGGATGGAGAGGTTATCACCAGTGGTGATTTCTTTGAACGACTATGAGGATACCATGCAAGCCAGGGAGGAAGTCATTCACCGGATGTCTATCTGACCTGGAACGCTGTAAGTGTATCATTGCAAATCGTCAATTTGATTTGATACCATGAGCATAATGGAAGGAAGACAATCACCGACTGTCTCTCCGACTTGCCGTTCTGTAAGTGTATCCAAACCAAAACCTACATCTTTTGAGAAGTGTGAAGTCAGTTGCCGATGTGACATCTATGTGGGAGTCACCAGTTCGGATCTACATCAAAGCGATGCTCTTTTGAGTGGATACTGAGCGAGGCCTCGTGACTGTCTCACTTGTTCAATTCGATTTTTCAAAGGTTCTGAGCCATAGTTGCACACTTTATATGTAAAAGTCCGCTTTAGTCCAGCATGTTTCGTAGTATGAGCCTCATATGAGTCTCGCGGCAAATCATACAATTTCTTTGTAGCACTTACATCCCTAAATTTTCGTGTGTGATCGGAACATATTGTTGCCGTTCACATGGGGGGGTGCGAATGGAAGTGCAGCGACATGTACAGTGCAACATGTACATATATATATACCATATGTACTTTGGCTCAAGGATCAAGCGACTAGAAAAGGTGCGGTTTCCGTTCCGACGCTACGCCGCTTATGGACCGTCAGTGATAGCTTCAAACTTCGCTGATTAAGATCCACTCGCATACTATTGTTTCCAAGCATTGGATTTGCAACTATACAGCGTTTCAGCGCTTAGGGGCTGCAGGTGTGTCATGTTGTGTTGTTAGAAAGTGGGCAGCTATGAACAAGTCAGGTCTTTGAGGGTGTTTGTCAATGGTCCAGCATGCCTGCCCTGATTGATTGTCATTATATATAGTGACCATTTATCGTTTGACATTGTGTTATTCTTCGGGTGGGGAGTGTATGTTCTATGCACTGTGCTGTCCAGCTCGATGTCCCAGCACAGCTCACCTAATCTTGTTTGAAGTAGTTTCCTGGTTTCAGACCATTTTTCCGATAGTGTTCGATATGAATTTTGAGAAACAGCAGAAACATAGCATCAAATTTGTACGAGTTGATAATTGAACACTCAATTGTGTTATCCAGCGTTTCCGCCGTTTCCACCTGATGACCATCCATGAAATAAACCAACCCCATTTTGTAATTTATTTGAATGATGTTATTTGTAAGTCGCTTGCGCATGTTTCCAAATTGGTCATGCAGGGGTGGAACATGGTGGAACCATACGGGGTCCTCCCCTAGAAATTCATCGCAGGCAAGCGCACGTGACAAGCAAAGCGTTGCATGCAGGTTCGGTTTGTCAGTTCTAAGTTGGACGGCCTTTCCAAACAAAGGATGGTTTCTTTTGGAAATGAAGGCGGGTCAATTTTTTGGCGGAAGTTCATGGCATTTTCTTCGTCGTCGTGGTCGTGGTCGTTCAGGGGCGGGGTTGGTGTCGCCAAACTGGCGTCAGCCGGTGCATGGTGTTCCGCGCCCCGCAGGTCCAATTTGGACACCTTCACTCCGCAACAGGTCGGGTGGTCGGTCCTGACCCCACTGGGGCTCCTGCCGACCTGGCCGGTTCGGTTGGTGGGTGCCAGGGGGTCGAATAGCACCTGACCTGAGGAGATGGGCCAGGAGCCCTAGGGAATGTAGACTTTGGATTCCGAATGGCCTCTTTATATGATGGTTTTAGTGCGTTTGATTGATCAAGCGTCTACATAATGTGTTTCCTTGGATTGAAGGTCTTTGTTTAAGGCGTTCTTGCGGATTCTTTTGGTACAATGGTGTTGTTGCCACAGGTTCTTGCGGTACACCCACCTCAAACATCATGTCTTTTGACATCGTGTCAGTTCAAACATGTTCAAACGAATTTGATGCCCTGTGACACTGATGACTTGGAGGTGTTTGCCAAAGAGGACGAAACGGCCCTGTGTCTTCTAAATTGACCCCCGGCCTTGGCCCTGACTGCTTGGCTCTCCGTCCCAAAAGACCATAAATCTAGTGGCTTGCGCATGCTTGCGCTGCGGAGGTCGATCTTCACGTTCCAGCGATCCAAGCATCCAATTCTGGGGTGGTGGATAGTCCCTAGGGATCCAGTCGTACCTTCTCAGGTACGGTGATTGGAGACACTCTTATGTGGTTTTTGAGGGTCCAAGTACCGTACCTGAGGTTCGGTACGACTGGATCCCTAGGGGGGTGGTTGTTTATTCTGTTTTTAGCCCTGCCCACCCTTACTTAATTAAGCGAATTAAGTAGGCGGCTACTTCATTAAGGGGACATTAGGGGACTAGTTCACTCGTAGCTAGGTAGGATAACTCACGCTTCTTCAAGGAAGCTCCCCCCCGCTGCCCTACTAAAGGCGGCGGGCTTCTTGAAGAAGCGCTCGCACTAATGGTGTCTAGAACGATATAGCCCATCTTCCAGAGCTTGCTCGTGGGCGAGAAACTGCTTTCACCATGTTTTGACCTCAAGAAAGGATCGATAGTCATGATTTCACAGACAGATCTCCACTGGTCTTGCGAGAGTTATTTGGAGGATTCCGGAGTGCTAATAGATCAATGTATATTCGACATATTTCGACATAAGCCAGGAAGATGTCACTTGTTTTCCGGGCGTGATATGCCCAACGGTTCAGACACTTCAAACCCACGGCTGAAAACAACGCAACCAAACTGCTTGGGATCTTTTCCCGTCGTGGCCTGCGAAGTAAAAGAATCTCCATTTGAGCCGAAGCCAGCGGTCGATCGCGGCGGCGGCTGGGCCACGCGAGGTGGCCATGGTGGCTGAAGCCTTTGCCATCGTCCAGCATCATCATCGCAGCTTGCCAGGCCCGGCACTCGCGGAAACCGCGCGCGATGCGGCCGCCGCGCAGCGGGGTGAACTCTGCAGGATTAGGCTGTCGGGTGGAAAGACAAAGTTGGTGATGGTCCACAAGCCCTAGGGCTCCAACCACATCCCCAAAGGTGGTTAGGATGGGTGCCAGGGGGGTCTAACCACCGAACCTGAGGATATGGTTGGAGCTGTAGGGAAGTTTGATTGGACAAAGGATGCGAAAGGCGTTTGGGGGAGTGTGGAGTGAGCGAGTACGGATTGGCTGGAAAGCCAGGATCCAGTATGCAACCCAAATTCACCTACAACATTCATGTTTGAATTTAGTTACCATGAGGCTCCTTGCTGCTCCCGTATGCAAATGGCTTCTTGTGGATAAGTTGGAGGCCATCGCTAGTAGGTTGGAGGCCATCGCTGTAGGTTGGAGGCCATC